TTGGAGGTTGCTGTGAACTGTGATGCCACGGCACTCTACCCAGGGCGACAGCTTGAGGCTCTGTCTCAAAAAATAAATAAATAAATACATTTTACATTTAATCAACACAATACTGAGCCCTTCCCATGTGTGATGCACTCTGTCCTATTCTGTTGTTGTATAATAAATGCCACTTGCCACCCAATAGATTGATTGTATAACCCATTAACAGATAAATTCCCATAGTTTGGCTATTGAAGTTACCTAGGCATGAAATCTGAGCAGGGGTGCAAAGGGGTAACGGATGGGAAGGATGAGGAAAGAACATACGGGAATATGTATTGTAGACAATGATTTAGTGTGTGGCTGGTGTAGGGCACTGCTGCCTCAGGGCAGGCTGAGGGTCAGCAGCCTGGTTGTCCTCTGGGAACTTGTTAAACATGCAGACCCTCAGGACTCACCCCAGATGGCCTCAGTGAGCACTTATATCTCAGCATGCAGGCCACAGTGTAAGAAGGGCTAGTTTAGCAGAACTGAATCAGAATTCAATCCAGGATTTGAAATTGAGTTTCCATGACTCTATGGTAGAGAAGTTGGAGAAGAAAGAATTGGTTTTGATGGCAAAGTGATTACTCTGTTTGCAAACAAGCTGACTTTAAAGAAGCTTAGGATATCTAAGCAGGCAACTGGCCACCAAGAAAGATTCTTTGCTCAATCATGCTTTAGTCAGGTTCCTGAGCTTGCTTCTAGGTCCGTCTATGCACTTCTTTGTAAAATTCAGTTTTAGTAAAAACCTCTCACTTTTGATGTCGACCACCTTCACTGTCTACTTTGTTCCGTATCTGCCACCACTCCCCAGGTGATGATCACCTTGGCCTGTCTTCAGCAAGAATCCCCCTAACCCCAGTGTTTCCTCTTAGTAACTTTCCATCCACTGAACCCCCTGCTCCTTAGCTCACTCTCCCATGCTGCCTTTGGACTTGAACTCCGTTCTATGCTGAGGTCTCCTTTTCCCTATTGCAACACCCCCAAACAAACCTGTTTTTATTGCTTTAACTGCTGCCTAGCTCTGGTTTTCCTTCACCAAAGGCAAAGAAAGTTGGAAGTCATGCTTGCTGACTTCCTATAAAGGCCTCTGATGGTTGAGGCGCACAAGGCCCTTGTGGCTAAGTCTTCCCTGACCTTTTCCCAAACTCCCATCTGCAGCAGGTCTATGGGCATGGTGCTGCCACTGGCTGCTGGCTGAGTCTCTGGGCCCTCCAAGTCTCAAGCCTGGTGTCTACAGTCACTGTACTTCAGCCTCTTGGTCAGAGCTTGATCTACAAGCTGCCTTTCCAGGATTAAAGGAGCTTAAGGTCTCACTGCATACTTTATTGCAGCTGATGCCTTTTAATAACCTAGGTCTGAAATTCCAGTGAAACTGCTTGTCATGTGGTTGTCAAAATGGGGCTAGCAGAGTCCAAGAATCAATATTTATGAAGTACTAAGGAAGCCTGGAATAAAAGGCATTGAACAAATTACAAAAATCGATCTTCTTACAAGTCTTTAAAGAAATATGGATTCATTTGCAAAAGGAAATATCAATATGATTGAAATGTACAAATTATCTTTACACTGGAGGAAGACATACTTTGGAGGCAAGTTAAGAAGTGATTGGCAAGGGAGATGTGGAAGGAGTCAGAGACCTTTTGAAGTTAACCCCAATCAGTTAGAACCTTGGTTTAGTACCAAACTCCCTAGGAAAAATGATGTTCCAAATTTAGACATTACTTTAAAAGTGAGTATTCTTATTTATTTCCTTCTCATGACAATTTTTTTCTGCTTTAGTATAAATATCAGCTTGACCTTTAGTCCTTGCAACCCAATCAGAGTTCAACTGCTTAAGAAATTCTGTATCTCTAGAAGGACAATGTGAGTTCATTCACTTGTTTAGCAATATTTTTTGAGCAGTACTTATTGAATGCCTATATGACTCTCTCTGTTCCAAGTTCTAAAGATATACCAGTAAACAAAATAGAAAAAACAATCCCTGCCCTTGTACAAAATACATTTTGTTGGGAAGAGAGAAAGAAACAAACAATAAGTAATTACATGACGTTTTATATGGGATAAGGGTTACAAAGAAAGTAGGGCAGGGTGTGAAATTGGGAATGCCAGTTGGGGGAATGGAAATTGCAATTTTAAATAGGGTAATGAGAGCTAACCTTGGCAAGACAGTGACATTTGATCAAGAATTGAAGGAGATTAAAAAGTGAGCCAAATTCAGGAAAAGACTTTAGACATTGAGCAGGTCCTGCAAAGGCCCTGGGCAGAAACATGCTGTGCTGTGTCTGCAAACAGGAAGGAGCCAATGGAATAGACGAGAAATGAGTTAAGAGAAGAGTGGGAAGAGATGAGGTTCAGGAGGTAACAGGATGGGAAACTCAGCAGGCAACAGGACAAAAAGTGAAGTGGTTGGCAAGGGATTAACAACAAAGGGTTTAGACAGAGAGGAGGGCATAAATGAAAGCCATGGTATTAACTAGCATTTGAGTAGGACTTTAAAATTGGCAAAGTTCTCACTAAGAACCTCTTTCATGGGTAAACTCCCCCATTTTACAGATAAAAGCAATGGGCAGCTGGCTGACTGAGGCTCCTGCTTTTGATAAAGTATCAAGAACACTGAGCTCAAGACTTGAATGTGGGTCTACCACCCCAACTCCTTTACTTCGGATTCTACATCCCTGGGCTGCTATATCTGAAATCAAATAGCCACCAATGAGCTATGCCTGGATACATTATATTCTTTCTCTGGGCCTAGTTCACAAAATAGATGTTTGGCCTAGAACAAGCCTATATTCTATAATCTGTGATTTTAATCAGAATCACCAATATTTGTTGAACAAGTTATGATAGACTTTCTAGGGATAGGAAAAATCTGTGAGAAAAGGACACAGGACTGGAAATAATCATGATTTTGTTAAACTTTGGGTTATTTGTGAAATTAGAATTTTAAAAATTTAAATTGATAGTAAAGATAGTAAACATTAGAATACATTTTACTCAGAGGGTTAAATATTATTTTGTAAAACTTTTGTTTTATGTATCTAGACACCTATTTATCTAGAGAGAAATATGTAGACATATTTATGGACATTCCAGGTCCTGTTGTAAAATATTTTTCTTACTCTGAGTCACCAAAAAGAAGTTTACGAACTGCTTGAGAATATGTAGCTTCTATCTCTGCATTCTAGTAGTAATCTAGTAAATATTTCTTTGAATGAATGGATGGTTTCAAGTATGTATTAGAGAAAAGAAAGGAAGGTCTGGACCAACGTGGCAGATGTAAAGGAATACACTACATATTAAAAAGAGGAAATGACAAGGAAGGGAGCATCATCCACAGTCTCCTCGCCTGGTCTGCCTGGTCTTCCCGCCCCAGCCTGTGTCTCCCATCTGCACACTAGCATTGAAAACTACTTGACTGAGCCCTTTTGGGATTAAGGCTTTCTCCTCCACTGTAACCTAGACATAGTAGGCTAAGTATTTATCTAGTAGATAAAAAATTGTATTTCCTGGGATCTTGTTTTAGGTGATATCCAGTTAAAGTGTTATTTATTTAAAGGTTTAAGGCCAGGCTTGGTGATTCACATCTGGAATACTAGCACTTTGGAAGGCCAAGCAGCAGGACAGTTGAGGCCAGAAGTCCAAGACCAGCCTGGGCAACATAGCAAGACCCTGTCTCTACAAAATAAATTTTTAGAAAAATTAGCTGGGTGTGGTGGCACACACCTGTAGTCCTAGCTACTCAGGAAGCTGAGGGAGGAGCATTACTTGAGCCTAGGACTTCAAGAATACAGTGAGATATAATCACACCACTGCACTCCAGCCTAGGAGCAAGATCCTGTCTTTAAAAAAAGGGGGGGGCTTAAGGGGTGTTATCTCACTCAAGAGTGGCTACATTGGCTCAGCACCTATAGCTCAAC